ATAGGAGATTGTCTTTTTTTCAACTTTACATCTAAGAATAGGTCAGTATCTACAGATAAATGCTTGACATACTACGTATCTTACACTACACTGTTTTACCACTAAGCAAACCGATTTTTTAACGCCTCGTGCCAAAGGTTCCAGTCTTCGATATACTACGTATCTTGTCAGGTTTTAAAAAAAAAAATGTATGCAGACAGTATGTCTTTATCATCAGAAAAATGTCAAATTCCACTACATGAAATGATGAGTAAGTAAAATTTTACTAACATTAGAATGAGAAAACATTTCAATGCCATATTGTAGAGTGGATTGAATAATTGGAAAATTATTCATAATTATTTAAATAATATCATCAATATTGAACAGGTTCCTTGAAGTGGGTTCCTGTACTCCATGAAGTATTTTTTTCGTTACAAACAAAATTTACTCAATGTCATAATCATTGTAGACACAAAGTATAGAACTATTTATAATTTCCATTCCAAGAAATCAGCTGGTTTTTGTGTTCTTCAACTGGTTGATGAGCAAATGCAAATAGATTTACTCAGTTCATATTGACGCTGTGAAAATAATAATTAACACTTATTGACATATACAGGGTGTCCCACGACGATTAAGACAGGGAATATCTCGGAAATCGAGTGTTTATAGTTGAAAATTGTAATTTTGCAATCGGTACAACTTTTTTCGAAATTATGTTGCCTAATGAGCTTTTCGTTTTCGGTCACGTGATATCAGATTCAAAATTATTGATGGCAACCTGGATATTTTGGCATTTTTATGTTTCTCCCGATGAAACGAATCCAACAAACTATATCACAATTGTGGTCTAAAACAATAAATTCAAGAACTACAGGTATCCTTTGTGCAAACCACGTTTTTTATGATCATTGTTCTGATCATCCTGAAAAATATTGAATTTCTCACATATAAGGGTGACCCTTTACTTAAATTATTTGGTATATAATTGAAAAGGAATATTCTCAGATATATTATAAACATGAAAAAATGGATACATTTGAATAAATACATTGAGAATTCGCATTCTCTATGTGATGAAATTATTAATTCTTTCTCGGCATATTCAACAGAAAACAACTACTTTCCTGGCTATATGCCACGACGAACATTGAATTATATCAATTGAACATACACGATAGGAATTTGAGCATAAAATGAATATCGTCTGAAATTGAGAATTGACATTCTCTTCCAGAATCGGATGAATACTATGATGAATATAACGATATAAAAAATATATTACTTACCAAATTGGTAGTTGTTTTCTGTTGAATATGCCGAGAAAGAATTAATAATTTCATCACATAGAGAATGCGAATTCTCAATGTATTTATTCAAATGTATCCATTTTTTCATGTTTATAATATATCTGAGAATATTCCTTTTCAATACTTTCATACCCAATCAAGGGGTTCAAACTTGAACGATGGAAACTTGTTATTTTTATAGACCTTCAATCGCAGATTCGTGATTAGGTTTTTCTCAATTCAGAATTTCTTTCCACGCCCTGTATGATAAATGTCAGTTTGTCATACATCTAAAACAATGGTATATAATTGCTTGTTTCAGACGTAATCGTCGTGGTACAAGATATAATGATGGTCCCATTAAGATCGTCGTGGGACACCCTGTATATGTCGATACATTCATACCCGCTTACATCTCGCCAACGCTCATTCTGTGAGTTTGGATGATATAAAAGTAGCCGAGGTTATTCTAAAAGGAATGCATATTGACGGAACAGCTACTGAGAAATGACAAGTTAGGAATAACAAATCAGAGAGTTCAGGCAGAGAGAAATGTGATAAATTGAGACAAAATGACTTTCGAATTATACTCCAATAATACGGCAGATACAAACTGATTTGAGTTTTGAATGAAATAGGAGTATTCGCGATAGAAAATAACACGTCGCTCCACCTGACAGCAACAACTTGAACATTTCTATGTGGTTTGTTTTGATGATGTGACCAATAAACACAAACAAAAAACAAATGTGAACCAAAGAAAACATGCTTATTTTCTATCGCGAATGGTTGAAAAATACGTGAGTGTTACACTTTCTTGAATACAATAATAATGAATTCTTGAAAATAATACGTTACAGAGTTTCTACAACTACTATACTACTACTTCTACTACTACTACTACTACTCAATCATTACGCAACGTCATAAGTATCCAATGGTAGGCCTTCGAATATAATTTTTCAATTGATTCGGCCGCCACTTGATGGAAATTCATGGCAAAGGTAAAAACTTCACAAACGAAAAGATTTCCACAAAATTTTTATTCACACGACTGGTTTCTTTAACACAGTAGCTTTATCAGGTGAAATACTCTTGCAAGGTCTTCACGTATATTTTGAACCCCCCCTCAACTATTTCATTTATCATAGTATTTTTTTTCCAAAGAACAGTCTTTCATAAGGTTTTCTTTAGATTTTGAATATGTTAACAGAAAAACAATTGAATACCTATCTGAAAAAAAAAGTTATGGGAAAGATGTATACATTTTTGAATGGAATACCCTGTATTTTATTGCATTTTTAGGTTCTTCCTGAAGAGCTGATTTCATCCATCTATCAGAGTAGGGGTCTAGCTGAAATGATTACAGAGATATATAGGGTGTGAAAAATTGAGATTGAATTGAACCCCCTCAAAATATACGTGAAGACTGTAACCTCAGTATGTAGATGAAGGTGCAACCTTTATTTTAAAAAAACAATGAACATACTTGGTACTTGATGACTTGCAAACGGCAGCTTTTCATCGGGAAGCACTATGGGTTCGTTTTGAGCAGAACATTTTTAAACACAATATTCAATTAAATAGATAACTTCAAGAGAAGGGGCGCCACAGCAACTTTCAAATTGGAGATGAAAATATGTTATTTGGGTAGTTGTGCAACAATCCAGCTAAAAATTTAGAATAATTTATAATGTTATAAGGAGAGTAGCTGATAATGTTCAACAAATAAATAAAAATCTTTCACCAAACAAATACAATTTATTTCACCATGGTGGTGCAGGAAAGGACTGGTACAGAATGTATAATTCAATTTAGTTATGGATTGTAGATCAATGCAGATGAAGTACTTATCATGAATCAAAGTAAATGGTTATAAACTTCAATATATCCTTACCCTTTTGAGATATTAATCCAAATCTCTCATTTATATCGAACAAAAATGAACCTATTCATTAGGAATTCAGTATTTTCCATTTTTGTTTTTGCCACCACATAAAGTACCATGTGCTGGGTTAAAGTTGATGAGCATACATACCTATGTGAATATAGAGATATTCATGACTTTCTTAGATTTACCAATGGAAATATTGAAGATATTCATAGAAAAAATACAATAATAAATAAATATTCTGGCCTGCACATGTTCCCACTCCAGAACTCCATTCTCGAACTGCAGAACCGTGGGGAGATGACTTGAGGAGGAAGGTTGGCTTCTGACAACCCACTAGGACCTCAGGGCTGCTAGGCCACAAGGCTGATTCGAAAAATTGGGACTCCCAGAAATCACCCGGTCATGAGGCACAACCATGCAGAACCCGCGGTTACTGCGGTGTTTTTCATTCATGGCACCGCTTGGAGCCTCGGTGAGGGGCCAGGTGAAAGATAAAATAGCCACAAGGGGGCCCGCCAAATGAAACCTTGCCGACATGGACAAGGGCAAACGCATCACCATTGAAATTAATCCTGGTGTAAAACCCTACAAGAAACGTCACGAATGAAATTCCAGATCTGGTTCGTCAAGGGGGTTACGCTTTGGAATGAAAATGGACTCACCTTTTATACAAGGGTTAGGTATACCGAACAGCTTGGCTAGCTGAACTATTCAGATCGTCATAAAAAAATCCTGATGCCAGGAGGACGGCCGCCTTTCTCTGGAAGTTAGGAGGTAGGATGGGTAAAAATCCCGAAGGATTCTTTCATAAATCCTGGATAAACCCAGAGGAGCACCACACCTTCTTCCTCACTCAAACAAACACCACCAGGAAGTGACCTCTCGTCCCTCCACAGAATCTCAGATATCCACGGAATTTTGACAGATTTGACAAATTTCTCAAAATTTGATAGTCACAGTGTCTATATAGAGTGTCCGTAATCTTGACCTTGTGTCAGACAACCAATCAGGATGCACTGTTTTTCATCCGCTAACCCACTTGACCGTTTAGTAACCCAGATACCATACTGAAGTATAATGGCTTTATAGTTGTTTTTCTTGTTGAACCGTGTTCAAAACGATTTGAAATCAAGCATTTTCTTGTGCAAGTTATGACGTCACCGAGTAATACGGTTCATTCCGGTTCAAAAACTTTTAAATGAACGGTTTGAACCGTGTTCGAACCAGGAAAACCAGTGGAGGAGTGGGAAAAGGTCGAAATTTGATGGTTTGAGCGTTTTAGGTTATAGATATTATTTTTGAGAAATTGACTATATAGCTCAAAAAATGGAGTATGATGGGGGTATGGTGCATTATTTTCCACTTTAGGATGCTGGTAAATTTTCGAGAAGAATAATCATTTCCAGATTATTATCTATTTCTCTGGACTGCTTCAACATTTCAACACCGTGCCTCATTTGCTGATTATCAATTAAAAAATCCACTATTAGTTATTCCATTCCTTTACAGTTCTCAAGTTCTCACAGATAATCATCAATTTTTAAATTTAATTATTGATTTCGGTTTTTAGGTTATGTGTTATGTATCTGACTTATGACAGCTTCAATTTCAAACTAGTCTGTTTTCTTGAATGAGATAAATCACTACGTCACGCTTGAAAACGATTCAAAACCAATCTTGAACACGGTTCAACAAGAAAAAACAACTCAAGTCTTGTGCTCTATGCATATGACAGTTGGCGTTACAAGACGCATTGACAACATGACAATTATTGAAGTTGAACTGACATGACAATGACAATACGATGTCGATAACGTTAGATTACATAAGCTGTGCATAAACGAGAAATCGTAATTGTTAAATTCTAAATATTTACAAAAAAATACCCTGCATTTATTGTTATCCAATTGAAAAGCATTTAGATCCACACCTCAAAGAGACATCCTAGAACCCCTATAATGATTAAAGTAATATTATTTCAATTAACCTTTATTCTGAGTGTAAACAATAGGTGTTTATTTTCTTCCAGACCAAAACCATAATTATAGGTATGGTATATCATTCTCTACTAGAAAGTTACTTCTCAGAATCCCATGGGAACGTGACATCATATGGTTGCCTATTAGTTAGCTGGGAAGAAACAGGTTAATTTGGTGAGTATTACTAATGATAGTTGATTAGTTGTAAGCAATCCCTGAAGTACTAAGAACTATTCCTTTTCAGGTACTACTAGAGGCAACTATTGATCAATTTCACGGGCAAGTTGATTCTTTGTATTAGATACTAATAATGTGCACGACAGGTTTGTAACTGACTGATTTTTGAACTAAATAAATGAGAAAACCTGCTTGGAATTCTGTTATTTGAGGAAATAAGGTATGAGCACTAGAGTAATGTTTATACTGCAAGATCTGGTAGTATCATTAAAATGGAGTAGTATGATAATTTGGATATTATACAGGGTGTATCAATAATATTGATTCAGAAAAAAAAATAAAAATATTGTACTGTTTTTTTAAATGCTACAAGACCCTGTACAAGGAACTTGACTAACCTTGGCTTGCCTAACTTTCATACCTATATCCTACTTTTCCTTCCTATGGACAGGTTCGATAAACCATCATTTTCGGAAAATAGCCACAATAACTTCATTCAAATACGGTGTACCGGATCAACTTGAAACGATTGATAGTAAATACATATATTATGAATCAGGAGGGGTGAAAGAACTTACAGTGACAACTCCACCACCTAAACAATCGAATAATGACCAACGGTCATGGACATAAGGAGATGTTTGGAATTTACGTACGTTTAATCAGCGCCTTCATGAATATAAGATGCAATTTTTTTTAAGAAAACAAACTCATCGTACGCCAATCATATATTAGAATAAAACCGTAGTGTTGATGATAATTTCGAAATTCTAGACGTAGAAAATAAAGGGATAAAACTCGATCATTTTGAATCATTAGAAATCAACAAACTAAAAAATTCTAACATTTCACTTAACGATCAACTAGATCTCAATAGTTCACTACTGTTGAATTTGTTTTTTTATCAGGTATTGATATGTATTTGATATCAACCTTTCCAAGTTAATCTGTACATCGTATTTTAATGTAGATTTTGTGCCTATTTTCCGAAAATGAAGGTTTATCGAACCTCTGTCCACAGGTAACTCTAATCCTTCAGGTTGGGAAAGTAGGATGTATGGAAGTTAGGCAAGCCAAGGTTAGTTCAGTTCATTGCACCAGTATTTCACCTGATGAAGCTACTGTGTTAGCGTTAGCGAAACATGTCGTGTGAATGAGAATTTTGTGGAAATCTCATCGTTTGTGAAGTTTTTACATTCGAATATTTCAATTATTTCCTCATATTTTCGCGAATAAGTCTTTTGAAACGAATGGTTAGTTCATTGGAACACCTTTCAACTTCAACAATTCGATTCGAAAATCGTTAAGCAAATGCGAAATAATGTACATGAGATATCTCATTCGAAAAAGTGTCAATTATTTCATACGGATTATTACCTTACTAGGTATATTAATGTATTCAGGATATTCAAAAATCACAGAAAAAGATAAGATCATCACACAATTCTTGATAACACGACGTTTCGTAACACAGTAGCTGCTTCAAGTAATCAGCACTTAGAGAAGCTATTGTCTATGCTAGTGTGTTAGTGAAACATATTATGCTATTCAGAATTGAATTTTGTGAAAATCTTATTGTTTGTGGATTTTTTTATATTCAGTATGGATTTCCATACACTGATGACTGAGTCGATACAATAAAATATTTAGGATGTGATCAAAAACATGTACCTTCGAGAAAAAATGTTGACATGTCAGATCATGTTCTTGAGTTATTGTTGGTTCGACAGATGATGAATTCGTAACCTTTGACTAATTCACAGCATGAAATCATAGCAGATGTGAGAACAGTTGCTATAAAGCCCAGATTCTAACATGATCAATTTGAAAATGCGTGTCATCTGTCTTCATATTCCATGTTGGTAACCACTGATTTCGCCCCTTCCAAAAGTTTGTTACAGCCGCCCTCTTCTCAGAATTCTTCCAGGGCTTACTTTCTGGATGATTTTCAGCATAATCCGAGAAGTATGATGTTCCTCCTATAGCCAAATTGATGATGAGGAAAAACTCCTGATCGAAAGGTGCTATTTTTGATTGTCTCTTCCAGGGATTTTCAAGACCAGTAGATTCGAGAGCGCCTAGTTCCCAAAAACCTCCATCAGGTGGAGAGACTTTTCCCAAAGTCACATCGTCGATTAGGAATTCTATTTTATCTTGATTCCACTTTATTTTGTATACATGGAAATCTGCGTTCCATCCTTCATCGTGATTTTTTAGAAAATGGGTGTATTTATATCTGTTCAGTTTAGGATGAGGTCCAAAATGTAAAGCACTTCCTACTTGTTGAATACCAATTTGAGCTTCTTTTTTCGTTAGGTTGCGGTTGCCTCTGGCTTCCAAAATGTCGAATTCTCCAGATGAAGGCCAGCTTGAGTATTCGTTCCATCTAGGCATCATCCAGGCGGCTATCAACATAACAAAAAATAGAGGTCAGAGGTTGCAGTAGGTATTTGAAATCCGCAATTATACGAGAATGGCCCGTCGGAAAAAGATAATCCTGTAAGTATGTTGTCTTCACTTTTTTGATGCGTAATGTTTCTGGGTAATTATATATTGCTAGTAACGAACTCAGCAAGCTCTTCAAGGTAAAGCACCACTCACACCACACTAGGCACCTGTCACGGTTTCCGAAGTGTCTTGTGAGCGAGCTGTGTGATGTAAACAGGGTTTTAGGAAGGTCAGAGTGCCTCCCCGGGAAGAACGAGGAGTCTCGCTCTCTCTCTCTAATGGCAAGTTGCAGAGATGTGAATTTTCAATAATCATGAAGAGAATGTTAGTAATGAAGGCCGATCAACATCTTTATAGGCAAGTACTACATAAACACCTTTGGAATAAAATTCACTAAAATTTATCTATCTAACAATAGCTGAATACCGCAATTTCTGTACAGTCATGTCGTTGTGAAACATGACGCCACTATGATGGTGAACAAGATTTGAAATCTTGTCATTTCAACCATAATTGCTATACCGGGTGACACAGGGTATCGGGCCACCCCTGTAACTTCTGCTTTCGTCGTCGGATTTCTCTGAAATTCGGTACAGTTATATAAGCAATCATTTCAGATTTGATCACATTACAATCCAACATGGCGGACTTCCGGTATTTCTGGAAATGCCAGCAACTTTGTTTTTTCAAATGAAACACCCTGTATATTTTTACATATTCAAGTTCAACAGGTCGAAACAAGTGCAATCTTTATTTCAAATGTCATTTTTTCGAAAAAAATTAAATTAAAATTGTTTTTTCATTTCACGTCGTGGATAAATGAGATGTGGTCAAGACTATTCACAATGAGTCACACATAACAGGAGAACATAATTTTTTCTGAAAAATTATTTTTTGTGTCACTTATCCAGGAATCAATTCAGCCACATCACTTTTTGATCAAAAATTATTTTTTTTCAAATGGAACCCTTATGGGCCATCTACCCGTCTCTCTAGAACATGTTTTTCGGTGCAGTAACAAATTGTATACATTCAAAAATCAACAACTACACCTTTTTCAATTGTAATTCAGAAAGTGTAACTTATTGTAATTCAGATTAGTAAAATGTAAGTCAGAAAGTGTAACTTGTAATTCAGAATAGTTAATTGTAATTCAGAAAGCGTCAATTGTAAATCAGATTAGTCAATTGTAATTCAGAATGCATAACATGTAATTCAGATTACTTAAATTAATGTAATCCAGAAAGTGTAACTTCTAATTCAGAATAGTCAATTGTGATTCATAAAGCATAATTTGTAATTCAGAAATCATCACTTATGAATTACAAGTGATACTTTCTGAATTACAAGTTATGCTTTCTGAATTACATTTGACGGTTTCTGAATTATATTCCTCCATTCTGAATTACAAGTTACACTTTCTGAATTACATTTGACTAATCTGAATCACATATTACGCTTTCTGAATTACAATTTACTAATCTGAATTTCAAGTTATACTTTCTGAATTACAATTAACTATTCTGAATTACAACTTATACTTTCTGAATTACATCTTATACTTTCTGAATTACAATTGAAAAAGGTGTAGTTTATGAATTTCCTTGCAGTTAAAATAATCTTTCAACTAGGTAGGCTGTGGAATGAATGACATTTGACATCAAGATTGCACTTGTTTTGACCTGTTGAACTTGAATATGTAAAAATATACAGAGTGTTCCATTTGAAAAAACAAAATTTCTGGCATTTCCAGAAAAACCGGAAGTCCGCCATATTGGATTGTAATGTGATCAAATCCGAAATAGTTGCTTATATAACTGTACCGAATTTCAGAAAAATCCGTTGACGAATGCAGAAGTTACAGGGGTGGCCCGATAACCTGTGTCACCCGGTATATTGGTGCAATAATACATGTATCTGTACCTGTTGCTGAGAAATATTTTTCTGAGACCATGCTAAAGTTGCTCTGATGATAGTTCCTCCGTGATGGATGCTGAGATGTTTTGCATAAAAGCTACGTTACTGTAAGTAGAATTCACATAATTTTGGCCACCAACCTGATGAGAAGACGGACTTCAACTTTTGATTTGAATTTCGTACTATATATTATTCTCTGCCATTACAAACCTCCTCCTTTATAATAAAATAAGGAGTATCAGTGCTGATAATCTATTCCATAGGACTCATATTATACAGGGTGTCCAAAAACTCGAGTCGAGAAATGTCTCCAAAGGGAGCTACGGCCCCCTGAAAGGGGGCTCCTGATGATGATATTGCTTGACTATTTCCGAAACCCCACGTGATGAAAAAATGCAAATTGGTAAAAGAACTAAACTATCCATGTTCAATGAAGTGAGGATAAAATCATTCCAAAATTCTAATCAGGAGTGCATAATACAGGGTGGGACTGCATTAAATATTGCTCAAAATTTTTGGTGTGCATATTTTTCGTCAATTTTATCTCGGAATATAAAATTTCACACCTTTTTACAGAAAAAAGGTACTCTTGTTCCGTGACGATCAGATGTATTGTTGTCGAGTGAAAGCAATTTAAAAATATTGTTACATCTCAGATATAATGCATACCATTGCAATGAGGCGTAGTGAAAATGGAAAAAAAATTCACAAAAAATTAAATAGTTTTTTCATCATATTTTTTTTTTCGCGCTTTTATGAAAGTGTTTAGTGAAAAGGAAGTACTTGATTTTTTAATAGCCACTATGATTTGAAAATTGGCAAATTGCATCAATATTTTTGAATCGATTTCACTCGAGAATGATACATCTGATCGATGCGGAACAAGAGCACTTTTTTTTCGAGCATTGGTGTGGATTTTCATAATCAGAGATTGAATTGTAAAAAACTATGCACACGAAAAAGTTTGAGCAAAATTTAATGTAGTTCCACCCTGTATTATACATTCCTGAACGAAACTCTGAAATGATTTCATATTCACCACATTCGGCATGGAAAGTTTATTTCTTGTGCCAAATTGCATTATTTCATCACGTGGCGTTTCGAAAATATTCAAGAAATATCAGTTTCAGGAGCCCCTTTTCAGGGGACAGTAGCTCCTTGTTTTTGACCAACTTCTTGAGGAAATTTTGGATGAATCTGTGTTTCCAATGACTGTTATGGAAGATAACCATGAATTATATATCCACTAAGAATCAGATTGCTGATGTACTAACCAAAGGTTTGGGAGTAGTTAAATTCGAAAAATTTTGGGGATTGGAATTGTTACCCCTCGGTACTCGAGAGGCAACAAAAGGATTGATTCTTGCTCGGGGAATCCCTTTTGTTCAGTTTCCGTATTTTCCACGATTGGAAAATAGTTATTTAGAATACAGCTCAGGGAGAGGGGTGGGTAAAATAAGTTGAACACAAAATTTCGTGAATGGCAACTCTCAAGTGACGTTTATTTAATTTGATTTATTAATGATCTAAGGATCTAGCACGGAACCACAGAATAAAAAGGTCTGTTAATCTGTGACAGAACCACGAGTGGTCATCCGGCAACACTGCTCGTACACACGCTGACAAATGACAATTGCGATCCTTCAACTTCAACTGACTGTCACGTTCACGTATCACTTCATATGTCAATTCGCAAAGGTAACCATATTTTTGTAAACAACAATAAGTAAACTTGATAAACATGCAAGAACAAAATAATAATTACGTGAGACAAATGATTTGGATGAACTATTCTTATGGTCCTATTCAATTATTAATCCAGCTCAAGGATCCAAGATAATGATGGCACTCTATATGAATTTCATGACATAACTCCTGTGCTGATTCTCCAGCACTCAGTAATCAGGCCTATAGCTGAGCATCAATGAATCCTATGACCGCCCTACAGATATATACAGTATTCACTTTTATTCTCCTACATCGATATGAACATGGATAGGAAGTCCCAGCTGTCTTTGTCTCACACTTATAAATACCTTTGCTTAATTTGGAGTGAGCACCATCTATACTTAATTCTATGTGAGCACAAGATGTACTTATTCCTAAGTGAGCACAAGAGATACTTAATCCTAAGTGAGCACAATATATCCTTAATACTAAGTGAGCACAAGAGTCATGCATGCAAAGCAAGGATGCAGTGTTACACAGGCCAATAAGCCAGTCTGCAACCTTCACCAGGTAAGGCAGCCAAAGCTGATAAATAAGAAAGATCTTACTTGTGATCAAGCATCCAGGGATGGTATGCCAAAGTCACTCCAACCCCGTTGCAGCTAGGATTGGTTAGCTTATACCTTGTAGATTTCTACATATAGGGACAATTTATATTGGTAGGGGTTTGGAGGATAGGCCACCAAAACCAGGGATGGTTTGAGGGTAGGCTCCAGGTCTTTTCAAAGCAGCTCCACAGGTACTGAAGGGGTAATAAGAAGGCCTAGAATCATTGATTATGTTGGTAACTGGACTGACAAAAGGGAGGATTCCTGGGAGGCTTACCTTGGATGAAGTGTGGCCTATCTGAAGGTTTCAACAAGAAACTGGTGAGTCAGGAGGAAAATATTATAAATCCACACTGTGTTGTGAAATAATCAACTTAATGATTGATTCTTCTAATATTTTCCAAGTTTTCCTTTTTGGCTTTCAAATCTGCAAATTCTGCAATTTCCTAAGCACACATGCTATACTGGAGGTTAAAGCCAAAAAAAAGGAATCCAGGTGACACCTACAATTTTTGGAGGCAAAGTCCTCCCAATCCTAACCTGTCTCTCTCACAACTGCTTGTCAACCTCTTTCTCTTGTTGACAATGTCTTGATGATGGTTGTGTCTCCATACTAAGACCAAAAGAAGAAGGAGGAAGCAGAACCAGGGAGCAGAATATAAAGAAAGAAGAACTGGCTGTGGTTCAGTCACAGAAGATGTTCTGCACTGGCAAGAGGTAAACCCATACTCATAACCTATCCTAACCAACCCAAAACAAAATAA